CTGAAGCTGCTCCCCAAAAGACGGGGGGTGGCTGAGCCTGGCGGCCACAGTGACCCCCCAGCAGCCCCAGAGCCGTGGTGAGCCCCGAGCTCCGTGGCTGGGCAGTGGGGAGCCCAGCACGCCTTCACTGGGGCACCAGTGTTCGGGTGGGTGCACAACATCCCCCTGCTCCCCAGGCCACAGGGACCCCCCAGCAGCCCCAGAGCCGTGGTGAGCCCCGAGCTCCGTGGCTGGGCAGTGGGGAGCCCAGCACGCCTTCACTGGGGCACCAGTGTTCGGGTGGGTGCACAACATCCCCCTGCTCCCCAGCACAGGGCCGCAGCGTGTCCCTGTCGCCCTGTAGATCTCCATGTGGCACACAGAGCGCTGCGGGAGCCCACGCCACAGCCCGCACCCAGGCAGTGCCAAGCCCGATGCTGGCTCAGCAGACCCCTCGTTCTTTAACGGCCTGGCGTTTCGGGCACACTACCACCTAAAAGAACCCTACCGTTAATTAAACTGCCCCGTAAATCACACAGCAGATCTCACGTGAGCTCCAAGAGAGCCTGACTTCTGTAATCCGAGGAACGTCTCTTACGAACATGACTTCTGCACGCTGCAATGCATTCAGTGTTTCTTCAAGCGATGTTTTTTTCCCTTACAAAGCTTGCCCCTATAGACAGCTCTGCCTCGGAGCCCTGAGTTCACAGAAGTGCCTTATAAATAATAAATACTGTCTTTGTAGCACCATCCTTGCTCTGGGCTATATCCTGCAAACTCTCCATGCATGAAGCTCTCTTTGAAGAGGAGGAACATGAGGAGCTTGCAGGGTTGGGCTTTACGTCACAGCGTGGTTCTTCAGCCTTCAGTGGGAGTTCGGCCTGAGTATGGCCTGGAGGTCTACATCCCAGTCCAGCGGGATGCCTGTGGCTGTGGTGGAGAGAGAAAAGGATGGGAATGTAGGAAATAACACTGTTTTGATATAGAAGACAGATTTCTTACTTGACTCTTTGCATGGTTTCTGTCGTCGTCCACCCAGAGCATGGTGTCACCAGCATCAACACGTCCGCCCCGGTGTCCCAGGATGCACCACCCACAACTTCTCACCTTCACGTATTTTGGAAATCAATTCTGTGGTACTCAACATCGTCTTGTGCAGTTTCTGACTGTGCACCCTGGGGCTGGCTATAACCCCAGAGTAAGGCCGTACAGCCCTCGTGTCACACACTTTTCCACTCCTCTGGCACTCCTCAGGCAGAAGGGCTCCCAGCCGTGGCGTTTTGTACAAAACTGCCAGCTGCCTCCGTGAAAGTTAATGAGCGAGAGCAGAGCATTTAGGGCCAGCAGGCTGCTGGGCAAGTGGGGCTTCCCCAGCTCCGCCGCTGGCCCTGCGGTGTCCTGGAGCCCACTGGATGTGTCACAAGCCGGGTCACCGCTGCTGGGGACAGCACAGCGCGGAGCCCGGGGAAGGGGCTCGGGGGCACGCCAGCCCCGGGTTTGGACCCATTTTCCCCCTGCTCAATCTTTCTGTGCAAATGAGATCCGAGAGGACACTGGAAAGGTGCTCTGGCAAGATACGCTGAAAAACCCTGCTACACGCCGCAGCCGCTCTCCTTTTGACCCCGGTGCGAGCCCCAGCGCCGGCAGCACCGTCCCTGGAGCCTGTGCACGCCAACAAGTTGCGGTGGAAACAAAGGCAGTTCTTGCTTCAGATTCTTCAGAGATAGCAATATGTCAGGAGCCCCTGGAGAGGCCGAAAGTAAATGAATCAGTGCTAGAAAGTGAAGGATATCATCCGCGCTGAATGGTGAAAAGGAGTCCTGAACAGTATCTTCATTGATTTTCCCGTAATTGACACGGCAGCTCGGCTCGCCGGAGGCTGCGGGCGAGAGGAGCGGGGAGGCCCAGGTACAGAGCTCCCTGCCCCGGATCCCGGGAACATTCCTCCTCGGTTAGGCGGCTTGTTTTTCGTGTGAAGCTTTAGAGGAGGTGCTGGGTTGGTGAGCCAGTGTTCTCACTGTTCGCAGGGTGCTTTGCAAGCCGCGCTGCAGACAAGGGGCAGAGCAGGACGTGTCCCGCGCCTTCATGGTGCCAGCTCCTTCCCGCCGCCCCTGCAGCCCCAGTGACAGCCCCGGCACGCAGGCTGCACCAAGTCCTTGGCTGGTGACAAATAACTGTCCTGAAGTGAGCCTGTTTGCTAGAAAACACAACAGCAGCACGCAGCAGGAAATTTGTCGGAATTGCTACTCGGGATAGATTTGAGGGTCTCCAAGGAGGAACGAGCCTTCTGCAGGAAAGCTCTCCACCTGCAGCAGCCGTGCCCCAGCGCGGGCAGTGGGACCGACCCTGCTCCCTGGGCGCTCGGTGGCCAGGCCCCGG